ATGAAACTAAGAGTTGGTTCTTTGAAAAGAAACAAAATTGACAAACCTTTAGCTAGATTGACCAAGAAAAAAAGATAAAAGTTTCAAATAAATAAAATCAGACAGGAAGGAGGAGAAATTACAATGGAGACCTCATAAATACAAAAGATTATAACAGAATACTAGAAAACCTATATGCCAACAAATTGGGCAATCTAGAAGAGACAGATAAATTCTTGGAATCACACAACTTTCCAAACTGAATCAAGAAGAAATAGAGAATCTGACTAGACCAATCACCAGTAAGGAGATTGAAACAGTAATCAAAAACATCTGAAAAAACAAAAGTCCAGGACCAGAGGGCTTCCCCAGTGAATTCTACTAAACATTCAAAAAAGGCTTAATACCTATCCTTCTCAAACTCTTCCAAAACATTGAAGGGTACAGGACAATTCCTCACTCATTCTTTGAAGCCAAAATTACCCTGATACCAAAACCAGATAAAGACAACACAAAAGGAAAGTTACAGGCCAGTATCACTGATGGATATAGATGCAAAAATCCTCAACAAAATGCTAGCAAGTCAAATATGACAATATATTAAAAAGATCATACACCATGATCAAGTGGGATTTATTCCAGGGATGCAGGGATGGTTCAACATCCACAAGTCAATCAATGTGATATACCACATTAACAAAATGAAGAATAAAAATCACATGATCATCTCAATAGATGCAGAGAAAACATTTGACAAGATTCAGCATCCATTTGTGATAAAACTCTGACTAAAATGGGTACAAAAGGTAAGTGCCTCAACATAATAAGGCCATATGTGACAAACCCACAGCTACCATTGTACTCAGCAGTGAAAAACTGAACGCTGTCCCTCTAAGAATAGGAACAAGTCAAGGATGCCCACTTCTGCCACTCTTATTTAACATCGTATTGAAGTCCTAGCCAGAGCAATCAGGCAAGAAAAAGAAATAAAAGGGATACAAATTGGAAAGGAAGAAGTGCAACTGTCACTATCTGCAGATGACATGATTTTAAATGTACAAAACGCTAAAGAATCCACCAAAAAACTTATAGAAATAATAAATGAATTTGCTAAAGTTGGAGGATACAAAATCAACATGTAAAAATCATTGCATTCTATACACTAACAACGAAGTAGCTGAAAGAGAAATTAAGAATACAATTCATTTACAATTATAACAAAAAGAATAAAGTACCTAGGAATAAATTTAACCAAAGAGGTGAAAAACCTCTACACTGAAAACTATAACATTATTGAAAGAAATTGAAGACACAACAAAATGGAAAGATATTCCACACCCTTGGAGTGGAAGAATTAACATATTTAAAATTCCATACTTCCTAAAGCAATCTACAGATTCAATGCAATCCTTATCAAATTTCAAATGATATTTTTCACAGAATTAGAACAAAGAATCCTAAAATTTGTATGGAACAGCAAAAGGAATCCTGAGAAAAAAGAACAAAGCTGAAGTATCACTTTTCCTGATTTCAAAATATACTACAAAGCTTTGGTAAACAAAACAGCATGGTACTGGAACAAAAATAGACATATAGATCAATGGAATAGAGTTAAAAGCCCAGAAATAAACTCACACATCTTAGATAGCTGATTTTCTATAAGGGAGCCAAGAACATAAAATGGAGAAAGGAAAGTCTTTTCAATAAACAGTGTTGGGAAAACTGGGAAGCCATATGTAAAAGAATGAAAGTAGACCATTATCTTACACCACGTGCAAAAATTAACTCAAAATGGATTAAATACTTGAATGTAAGACCTGAAACCGTAAAACTTCTAGAAGAAAACATAGGCAGTATGCTCTTTGACATTGATCTTAGTGATACCGAGCAATAGGCTTGCTCTGCTCACCACGATCTGAGCCAATTAATCATAACAAGTTAGAGATTGAGAAAGGAAGCTTTAATTCCATTAGCCAGCATAATCAGAAGATGGGTGACTAATGGCTCAAAAAACCCATCTTCAAGAATTACAGAATCTTGAGGTACTTGTATAGGAAAAATGGGCAGTAAGGAAAGGGTTTAGAAATGTCATGCCTTCAGGCATGATCGACTCCAGTGTCTTTCATTGTTCTTTTCTTCTGTCAGTGATGATGAATATCTTGTAGATGTGTTTCCCAACTGTGGGCAGCCTGTTCCTGGAGAGAAACTTGTAGAACAAAGTTTTAATTTATCAAGTTATAGGGGAGTACATATGTAATCGGAGGCCATAAATTAGGAGAGTATGTGAATTATTTTGGAGTACGTGAACAGCAAGTAGTCACACAGAGGAGAGGCTGGGGTCATTTAGCGTAACAAGATGGCCTCACTTATGTTCACTTACATTATCAGCATATTTTCAAGTACTGTGTCTGACCAGGCAAGAGAAACAAAAGAAAAAATAAACAAACGGGACTTCATCAAACTAAGAAGCTTCTGCACAGCAAAGGAAACAAACAAAATGAAAAGACAACCTAACAATTGGGAGAAGATATTTGAAAATCATATATCTGATAAGAGATTAATATCCAAAATATCTAAAGAACTCATACATCTCAATAACAAAGAAACTAACAATCCAATTAAACAATGGGCAAAAGATCTGAACAGACATTTCTCCAAAGAAGATTATATGGATGGCCAAAGGGCGCTTGAAAAGATTTTCAACATCACTAATTATATTAGGGAAATGCAAATCAAAACTACATATCACCTCATGCCTGTCAGAATGGCTATAATTAACAAAACAACAAATAATAAGTGTTGGAAAGGATGTGGAGAAAAGGGAACTCTCATACACTTCTGGTAGGAATGCAAACTGGTGCAGCCACTATGGAAAACAGTGTGGAGAGTCCTCAAAAAATTAAAAACAGAACCATCATATGATCCAGCTATTCCACTGCTGGGTATTTATCCAAAGAACATGAAAACATGAATGTGTAAAGATATATGCAGCCCTACATCATCACAGCATTATTCACCATAGCCAAGACCTGGAAGCAACCTTGGTACCCATCAAAGGTAAATGGATAAAGATGTGGTATATATACACAATAGAATACTTCTCAGCCATAAGAAATGATGAAATCCAGCCATTTGTGGCAACATGGATGGAACTTGAGGGTATTACGCTGAGTGAAAGAAGTTAGAGGGAGACTCATAAGTAGATGATAAAAACAACAACAAACAAACACATGGAGACAGAGATTGGTTTGGTGGTTACCAGAGGGGATGGGGGTGAGGGGGGAGGGTGAAAGGGGTGATTAGGCACCTGTGTGTGGTGATGGATTGTAATCTGTTTTTGGTCATTGAACATGATGTAATTGAAACAGAAATCGAAATATAGTGATGTACACCAGAAATTTATATAATGTTATGAACCAACATTACTGCAATAAAAAAAGAGGAAAAAAGAAAGGATTATTCAATGCTAAGGAAGTGTCAGTATTTAAGCTTCATCATCAATCGTGATGAAAGTTATTTTAAATTTTTTTTCTAACTTGCTTATTTAATTCCAGTTTTCATAGGAGGTCATGAGACATTTTATTAATAAAATAAAGCTTTAGGTATCAGAAGATAATGGTATTTATAATAAAAAATATAAATTTGTGACATAAGTTGCTGTGGCTTCTTCTGAAATATCAAAGAAATATTGTTTTTCCCATGTATTTTTTCAATATTAAATATATTTCGTTGCATTTTATTTATTTTAAACTGGCAATCTATGCAGCATATAATAACAAGACTATCTGACTAAGTACAATGATTTATTTCCCTGTGGTATTTCAGTAACAAGAGAACAGCAATAATATTAATGATTTGAGTTTTCCTGGGTTTCACTATATGTGTACCAAGTGCTTTGTGTACATGATCTCATTTAATCCTTACAACAAGCCGAGAAGTTAAATTTTTTAGTTTGCTCATTTATTAAAAAAGAATTTTACAGCAGATGAAGATTAGGTAAATAGTTCAAAGTCCCATGAGTGGTATAGCAGCTGCAATTTTAAGTTGAGGATGTCTAACAGAAGCACCTGCTCTCGTGAACACAGTGTGTTATGAAACTGTGACAGGCTGGACATACAGATAGGAATAAACATGGTTTTTGTACTCAAGACATTTGTGATCTTATGTACAACTGATATCCACATAAATAATAGAAATGTAAATCCTAATGAATTTTAGAAGGTGGGATAATCCAGCTTCTTCTGATTGATTGACCCTAGGCTTTAAGGTTTAGAAAACAAAAAGCTTTGAATTTTGTTTGTTTGGTAATTTGGCCTCATTCAAAAGATTCTTTCCATCTTTGTGGAACTCATGTCATATAAAATTCTTGGTCTCTTTCTTGCCCTTTAATTTTCTTAGCCATAAAGTAAGAGTTATCCAGAATTATTCTAGTGGAAATTGTTCAGCCATAAAGTAGAATCATCTGACAGTGAATTTGTAAGGAACTACCAGGGTATGCTGAACTCTCAGCTCCTCAGCTCTCTATGTCCTCCCACCAGCGAGAAGGACCAGTGCTTCCTCTTCTACTCCTCTGGGGCCAGTGTGAGGTAGAGGGGAGACCAGCCTCAGTTCGTTGTTGGCATGACTGGGCTGGGAGTGTGCCTAATGCTCAGGGGCAGTGTTAGCAAGACCACGTGATTGACAGTCCTGAACCTACATTTCCCACATAGGTCTCTACTATGATATATTTTATATATATATATATAAAATATATATTAGTAGTAGTAATGAAAGGGATATTTGTTCAGAATCAAATGAGGAAGAATGTTGATATTCCACTTTAGATAATCAAATACTCTTTACTGCTAGTTCATACCTTTATTATTTTACATATTTAAAATTATCTCTTTTTTTAGTAAGTCATATTTTATATAAATATCTTTAGGGTATGAGATTCCTCTATTATTTAGTTTAGTCTTGTAGTTCTTGCATGTACATCAAGAAGAAATTCCCCAGGGATAAGAGCATGTCAAATTAGCATATTTATTTCCAGTCAAGGGAGAAAGACAAGTTAAACAGGAATCTGCAACATTTGTCCATGTGTTCTGAACTTTGAAGGGCTTATAGGTTTGCTCCCATCTAAGGAGATTTTGCTTTGGGAGCCGGCGTTGGATAGGGCAGAAATACCCACCACTTTCTACAACATTTTTTTTCTTCGCTACATACACCGATGGTGTCATCTGTGCTGGTACATCCTCCATCTTTGCATATCCCTTTCAAAAAAACACATTGTTTTTGTCCCGGAATTACGCCAGTTCTTGCTGCACAGGAAGAGATTTAACAACATCGTTAATTCACCATCAAATTACTGATAATGCACATAAAGCAATAAACTTACAGAAGGATGGCTTCGGGATAGAAGAGATGATATTACTTATATGAAAGGATCAGATGCTTACGCAAAAGAAGTGTCTTTTTGGGGGAGAGGGGCTAAGAGTGTGGGACTATACACATCTTGGCGAGGGAGGGCTGATTTCTAGAAGCCTTTAGAGAGTTGTCCTCTTCTGGGGCAGTACCTTTGGAAATGTGTGGGGTAATTTATTGTCCCATGACTAGGGAGGTGTCCTGGTATTTACTGGGTAAGGCATAGGGTTGTTAAATTTTCCAGCTAGTGAGTTGTCCTGCTCCAAATGCCACCCATACCTTCAATAAGAAACTCTGTTTCAAAGGTAGTATCCGTCCTTCCACCTTCCCATCTGTGCTGACCTCCCCATCCGTGCTTACAGCATCCTGATCATGTGGCACATGTTTTCATCTTCATCTCCTTTTATAGAAAATTTATCAATCCCTTAGATTCCATCAGACCTAATTTCCCCATTTCAGAACAATGCAAGAAATACATTTTCCATGTCGTTCAATGCCTCTGATATGTATATACACAGAGAGAATTTCTCTCAGAGCTGAAAAGTATTTTTCCTTAAAACATATCCATGTTTTCCTAATTCATTTGGCTGCTGAGAAGCACATAACTGTGTGCTCCAATAGAGTAGTTTTCTATAGTCTCAAAATCCTTCCTTTAGCCTTTCTAGCACATCTAGGTTCATTCCCTTCCCTGTGGATCATGGCGGATGCTACATAACAGAGACACTTCTGTTCGTGTTCATTAATAGAAATTAGTTTCTGATCCATCCTATTAACCCACCTGTATCTCATTTCATCTTTACTGTCCTGTAACATACTAATCCAGACTGGCTTCTTTGATCCCTAACTTCTACATCCTGACTAACAGCTTGACCACTTTTTGGCCCCGAATCTTTTTTTTTTTTTTTTTGTATTTAAACTAGGCTCTCATGATTGTCTTTCCATTCTGTAGAAAAATATTCATAACCTGAAAACCAATGCAGCCTTTTGTAACTGAATTTTCAGAACCTGTGCAAGCTTGTGTTCTGCCCTTGCTGTAAGATCCAACCTGGTACAATCTGGTGGTACACCCTGCTCTTCAGCTAGCCATCCATAAACTCAGGGTCTCTGTGCAACAAGAGAATGGCACCATGGGGTGTTGGAGAGTACCTTGTGGTACTACCTCTGATTTGCCAATTCTGGAAGATAAAGTGTCTTTGAGGGATAGAGGTGAAGTTCTCACTAACCAGTTGTGGAAGGCACTGGCTCAACTGCATTTTCTACACTGAGTACAGGCTCAGCAGCATAGCTTCATGCTCACCCTGTTGCTAGCTGTTGGTCTCTCCCCTGATAACTTCATCTATGCACTTAATATAACATCTGGTGAGATTTTCAGGTTTTCTTATAAAGCTAAAATCTAGAGTTCTCAGGACTGAGCAAGATATAAGTGTAAAGCAGAGTCTGATGTCAAGGAGGTCTCTGTATATGAACTTATAGGCATCCACGCAGTGCGACATGGAATGTGTGATTCTGCAGCTGAGGACAAGACACCTAACCTCTCCTCAGCAGACTAGTCCTGTCACCCTCTACACTAGAAAGTTCAGTTTCCTGATGCAGAACATGGTCTAGGATGGTGCCATTCTCTCTACTTGGAAGATGCCTCTTGCTCAAATCAAAAGGATCAGAGCCGTTCATCCCACCAGTGATGTGCTCTCTGCTAAACATGAGGCTTAATTTAAGGAGGTTTTATCTGACAGGCAGCCAGAGAGTTCTAATCTCCCTTTCGACAATGGCTATGACATGTCTTTGTGCTCAGGCACTAGTTCAAGTGAAGAAGATAATATTAAATTACCTGGTTCATGATGAAGGGCATTTCTTCTTACATATTGACATTTATTTTCAGAGTTATTGGCATAATAATAGATATAAGAGCAATAGAATAAAAGGGATCTCATGGATTTCAGAATTTATATGATATTAATATGTGATAATGATTATATCATATGGCAGTGGGAGAAAGGATAGATATTTAATAATTGCTATTGGGAAAAGAAACAATTTAGATGCTCACTTCATCTTGTATCACAAGATAAAGTTAGGAATTTTGATTTCCTTATTCCTTATGCTTGTTATTTATACCCTCTACCTATTTTCAGGCCTAATTCCATGTATTTATCTTAAAAGATGATTATCTCAGGATTAGAAAAGAAGGAAGATACTGTAAACTTGAAACTCCTTCTATGGTGGAACCAGGAAGAGAGACTGAAGAAAGAACAGTGGAAATAGTGAAAGAAAGGGAAAGATCTGTCAAGGAAATCTGCCACACATGTAGGCTGCCTAGAAACCACAGATAATCCTCGTTTGTGTGTGTAAACCAAAAACCCCAGGGGGATCTAGACACTAGTAGTGATTATTTCCATGTATGAAGTTGGATTGTCTTGCCTTCCTTGTTCTTAAAGTGCCCCCTACAGACTTAGTATTGGTGCCATACAACTTTTACTCTGGCATAATCCCGTGAAATACTTGGTGCATTTTCTACTACAAACTAGTTCTCTCATTAAGTGGCCTTCTTGCAGTTCCTTGAACACACTGTGCTGTCTTCTGAAGCAAGGACATTGCATTTTGGCATCTTCCTCTGCCAGGGGTGTTGAGTGCTCCTTGCAAGGGATTCATTAACTAACACTTATCTTTCAGTTTTTGGCTCAAAAGGCATGTCTCAAGGAAGTCCTTGCATTGCAAGTAGACAATGACCACAGGCTATAGGAACTCATAATACTCTGTTCCTCTTCGTTGCATTATTAAAATTTATAATTATATATTAATTTGTGTAATCATTTGACTAACATCTGTCTTAGATGTTGTGGGAAGACACTCCTTTTTTTGTTTCCATTGTATCCTGAGTATTTAACACTATTTTCATAAAATAACAGATGCTTAGTAACTTAGTAAATATTTGTTACTACTGAATGCAGTTAAGTATGCTTTGATCCCCTCCCCCCCTCCTATTTTTCCTCTCTTATTCCTTCTAAAATCTCATGGTTTCAGCCTAGTTTTGACTTTCTGGTCCCTACTCTTGGATGTATTATTGTATTTGTGGGTATACGGTCTTGTCATTACTATATTCGCTTCTCTAAACCTTAGGCCTAGATTTCCTAGAATCCTATTTTCCCATCAGTTATTTCTGGCCTTTGCTTAGGTCAGCCTTTCTCAATTTGCTTCCCACCCTAAGATTGAACCATTGCCATATCCCTTTGGCCACTATAATGGTGGGTTTTAACTAGACCTTTAATTCCAGGAGATCTATCTCTTCTTAACCTTTTTTAAAAAAAGACCAGGGTCATAACATGGGCTATGTGTGAATGGAAACAGTCATTTATGTTGAGCTGAATTTAACTTAGGTGGTGGAGGGAAAGCATGAACAAAATAAATTCACTCATCAACCATGCAGACATAATTATCTTGGGGCAAGCCCTTTCAGCTATCTGAGATTTTGTAGACATTTATCTGATTTTAAGGAACACATATCAGGAAAATCTAAAGATTAGCATTAATAGTCCGACAATAATACTAGAACATTCAGGAGATTCAACATGCCTACCTCAAACACTGAAGGGAAAGAATTTGGAGGTAAGTGAAGTAAGATGTTTTAGAGACATTGCGTCTTCAAAAAGAGGAAACTTGAAAATCTTAGGTCCCTCAGTATCTAATTAGGAGATTTTGAAGTAAAAAGCCTGACAGAAATCAGGGTTACCACATTATGGGCATACTCACTCCTAGAGACTAATGGAAACAACACTGACCCAGATTAAAGATATTTGGATTGAACCGCAGTGTTGCTACCACCTCTATGGCCTTAGTAGACTCATATTCTTTTATGTAGACCTGGATTCTCTTATCTGTAAAATTAAAGAATTATCTGTTAAATTGCCTTCTAATTTTAAGTCATTATCATGACATAATTTTACTTTAGATGTCACTACAAGCGTGTCTCCCCACAGCTGCATCTCCTTCTGAACAGAATTGAGAACCAAATGAGAATTATTCCTTCAAGAGGAGACAACTGTATGCCAGGTAGATCGCAGGATATCCACAGATTAGGCAAAGATCAAACAAGTGAATATCTTTGATTGTACTTAAAAGAATCTTAGAGATGAACCAAGAAAGAGAGAGAGTTATCCAGACAATCTATGTTCAATGATCACAGACATTGTTGTGAGGGGTGTGAACATACTGCTGTTAATTGTGGAGAAAAGAATTTTATCAGTTCTTACAAGGATCTGGATGAACCAGCCTAAAGAGGATCACATTCCCTTTTTCCTTTGATTCTATGTTTTAATATTCAAATTTCTTAATCAAGGATCCTAAGGATGTAACTCAGATTTTCAAAATGCTTCCTTTATATTTTCCCTTATGCTAAAACTTTTGCTATTGAAGCTTCATTCCACTGTTTATGCTTTTTCCAAATTCCCCTGCTCCCCTATTGGTTTTTTATAATCTGATACAATCCTTTTTGGTTGAACTTTGTGTTCCGTGCCTATCTTCTATCCTTCACAAATATTCCTCATCAACAGACTCTGCATACTTCCTTTCACTAACCGAGTCTGACTAATAGGTGCCATTTGCACTCTCACTTTTTGGAGATTGGGGCCCTGGTAAAACTATTTGAATTATATGCTAAGCCTTAAGACACTTGTCAAAGTCTCCACTTATCTCTCTATGTGAGCCCATTGTCTACTCATGGAGCTCTCGGATCTTGTTTTCTGTTGATGGAAATTTTTGTCCTGCCTTGCAGTTTTGGCCTCGTCAGTTCTAAGGAAGATGATCGTATTGGACTTGTGAATCCCTGAGGCTGTGCGTTAGGGTTTGAGGTAAGTGGGCCACAGTATAGTTGAACCTCCCAGTAGGCCTCCTAAGAAAGCTACCTCTACAATTAATTACCATCTTACCTTTTGGTATCATAGTCACAAAGAAGAGGAGAACAGAAAGAAGGGAATGGAGTCTCATAGTTGAATGCCCAATAGAGAGGCTTGTGATCAGGGATAGTGGAACACAGGGTCTTTTATTTGCTTCTGGGGTACCGAGGTTCCTTTTGGTCAGTGAAGCTTAACAAGTGAGAAAAGAAAACAGCTTCCGTTGGAATATTTCCAAACCCTGAAGTCACTAAATTTGGTGACAAATTAACCTAGTTATAGGAAACCAGATAGCTAACCCTTTACTTTTCCTGTGGGCTCTCCAATTACCCAGAGGTCAGTATGTTTGGCCAAGCATCTTCAAGAGGGGCCAAGAAGTAAGGTCATGCGAGCGTAAAGTCCTTATTGCCAAAAGTCCTCTGACCCGCAAGGGAACTCTTGCACAATACACTCTTTTCCACAATAAGGATAAGAGAATTGCCTGAGGACTATTTTTTCAAAAAGAAGCTGTATTTTTAAGTTATTCCTTAAGAGAGAGGCTAATGTCCCATATGTACAATGTTCTTAATGGCGTCTGAAAGGTAAATATATTTAGTTCACACGAAAACTAACATTTTCTCATGGGTTATTAATCTGTTGTGTAACTGTTCCACATGACAAGGATAGTGAGATCAAGAGAGTTAAAAGATCAGAGATGAAGAGCACACTATTTCCAGCATTACCATCGACTGACGAAAGATTGTATGCTTACAGCTTAAAGAGGTTCCCCACACTCTCACCTTCCCCCAGACAGAAACAAAGGCCTCAGAGCCTGAGAACATGCTTTGGCCAAGAATCCACTGACATGAAACCAATCCATCTAAAGCTCATTTACCAACTGATCAACGGCTTAATGACACATTTATCTAAGTTCATTTATTTTTTAATTTATAAACTTTCATATGTGATATTAGCTTTATCTTGGAAAAATTTTGTATACTTGTATGTCTTCTATTTTGACTACTTTTGATCATGTTCCTGTTTTTTAACTAATGTGTTTATTTGATTACTTAATTTATTTTCAATAATTGAGATATAATTAACAAATAACATGTGTAAGTTTAAAATGTATAACGGTGGGCTGGCCCGGTGGCGTAGTGGTTAAGTTCACGTGCTCGACTTCGGCAGCCTGAGGTTCACAGGTTTGGATCCTGGGCACAGACCTAGTGCTGCAGATCAAGCCATGCTGTGGCAGCCTCCCATAAAAAATAGAGGAAGATTAGCACAGATGTTAGCTCAGGAGCAATCTTCCTCACCAAAAGAAAAAAGAAATAAAATAGGTTGATTTGATACATTTATATACCACAATATTATTACTACTGTAGTGTTAGCTAAGACCTGTATTTGGTCACACAATTATCACTTCTTTTTTGTGGTGGGAACAATTAAAATCTAGTTTCTTAGAAACTTCGGAGTATATAATATAGTATTATTGACTATAATGATTCTGCTCTCCATTAGATCTCCAGAATTTATTTACCAGCTGCAAGTTTGTACCTTTAAAAATATCTCCTCAATTACCCCAGCTGCCAGCTCCTAATAACCACCATTCTACTCTCTGTTTTTACGAGTTTGGGTTTTTCAGGTCCCACATATAACGTATCATACAGTATTTGTCTTTTTCTCTATCTGACATCTCACTTAGCATGATGTCCTCAGGATCCATCCATGTTGTTGCAAACACCAAGATTTCATTTTTTCTCGTGGCTGAATAGTATTCCATTGTGTATATATATATATATAACATCTTCTTTATTCATCTGTTGACAGACACTTAGGTTGTTTCCATATCTTGGCTTTTATGAATATTACTGCAATAAACACATGAGTGCAGATATCTCTTCAAACTCCTGTTTTCATTTCCTTTGGCTATATACCCAGAAGTGGAATTGCTGGATTAACTGGTAGTTCTATTTTTAATTTTTTGAGGAAGCTTCATACTGTTTTCCATAATGGCTGAACCATTTTACATTCTGTCAACAGTGCACAGGAGTTCCCTGTTCTCCGCAGCCCCACCAACACTTAGCTCTTGTCTTCTTGATGACAGCCATTCTAACACTAGTGAGGTAACATCTCACTGTAGTTTTCATTTGAATTTCCTGATATTAGTAGTGTTGAGAATCTTTTCATGCACCTGTTGGCCATTTGTATGTCTTTTTTGGGAAAATGTTCAGTTCCTTTGCTCATTTTTCATTATATTGTTGTTTTTTTGTCATTGAGTTGTATGAGTTCTTTATATATTTGTATATTTATGTATATTAACCACTTATCAAATATATGGTTTGCAAATATTTCCCCATTCCATAGGTTACCTTCTCATTTCTTGACTGTTTTTTTTGCTGTGAAGAGCCTTGTAGTTTGCTGTTGTCCTACTTGTAGATTTTTGCTTTTGTTGCTTGTGCTTCTGATGTCATATCCAAAAAAATCATTGCCAAGACAAGTGTCAAGGAGCTTTCCCCCTGTGTTTTCTTTTAGGAGTTTTACAGTATCTGGTCTTATGTTTAAGTCTTTAGTCTATTTTGAGCTAATTTTTGAGTGGTGTAAGATAGGGGTCCAATTGTTCTGCCCATGGTTATTCAGTTTCCCCAACACTATTTGTTGAGAGACTATCATTACCCCATGGACTGTTCTTGGCTCCCTTGTCAAATATTAATTGACTGAATATGTGGGGGTTTATTTCTGGACTCTCTATTCTCTTCCATTGGTCTATGTTTATGCCAAAAGAATTTTATTATTTTATTGTTTTGATGCTATTGTAAACAGGGTCATTTTCTTTATTTCTTTTTCAGATAATTCTTTGTTGGTCTACAGAAATGCTATTGATATTTGTATGTTGATTTTGTATCTTCCAACTTCACTGAATTCATTGACTAGATCTAACAGCTTTTTAGTGAAGTCTTTAGGATTTTCTATATATAAAATCATGTCATCTGCAAATAGACACAGTTTTAGTTGTTCCTTCTATTCTGAAAGCCTTTTTTCTTTTCCTTGCTTGATTGCTCTGGCTAGGACTTCCAACATTATGTTGAATAGGAATGTTGAGAGTGGGCACCCTTGTCTTCTTCCTGATCTTAGAGGGAAAGCTTGCAACCTTTCATCACTGAGTACGACCTATCTGTGGGTTTTTCATATATGGCCTTCATTATGTTGAGGTACTTTCCATCTATACCTCATTTGTTGAGAGTTTTTTTTTTTTTTTTTTTACCATGAATAGATGTTAAATTTTGTCAAACGCTTTTTCAGCATCTATTGAGATGATCATATGATTTGTATCTTTCCTTCTATTAATTTGATGTATCACATTTCTTGATTTGCATGTTATGAATCATCCTTGCTTCCCAGGGATAAGTCCCATGTGATCACAGTGAATTATCCCTTTAATGTGTTGCTGAATTAAATTTGCTGGTATTTTATTGAGAACTTTTGTATTTATCTTCATCAGGGATATTGGCCTGTAGTTTTCTTTTCTTGTAGCATCCTTTTCTGGCTTTGGTATAAGGGTATTGCTAACCTTGTAAAACGAATTTGGTCATGTTCCCTCCTATTTTGGGAAGATTTTGGGAAGGATTGGCATTAATTCTTCTCTAAGTATTTGATAAAATTCACCAGTGAAGCCATCTGGTTATGAGTTTTCTTTGTTGACAGATTTTTAATTATTGATTCAATGTCTTTACTAGTAATCAGTCTCTTAAGATTTTCTATTTTTGCCTGATTCAGTCTTCATAGATTGCATATTTCTAAGAATTTATCCCTTTCTTCTAGGTTGTCCAGTTTCTTGGAGTATAGTTGTCATAGTAGCACTTTATGATCTTTTGTATTTCTGTGTTCCCAGTTGCAATGTCTCCTCTTTCATTTACCATTTTGTTGATGTCTTCTCTCTTTTTTCCTTGCTTAATCTAGCTAAGGATTTGTCAATGTTATCTTTTCAAAGAATGAACTCTTAGATTTGTTAATGTTTTCTATTGTTTTCTGGTGCTCTACTTAATTTGTTTGTGACCTAATCTTTATTATTCCCTTACTTCTGTTAACTTTGGGCTTAGTTTGTTTTTCTTTTCTGATTCCTTGTGGTGTGAAGTTGTTTGAGTTCTTTCTTGTTTGTTAACAGGTGTCTACTGCTATGAACTCCCCTGTTAGAACTGCTTTTGCTGCATCTCACAAGTTTTAGTATGTTGTGTCCCCATTTTGTTTCTCTCAAAATATTTCTTTAGTTCTTCTTTAATTTCTTTTTTGATTCACTGGCTGTTCAGGAGAGTATTGTTTAATTTCCATGTATTCATGAGTTTTCCAGTTTTCCTCCTGTTCTTGACTTCTGATTTTATACCATTGTGGTCAGAGAAAATACTTGGTATGATTTCAAACTTCTTGAATTTGCTAAGACTTGTTTTGTGGCCTAAAATAAGGTCAGTGCTAGAAAATGTTTCATGTACACATGATAAGAATGTGTATTCTGCTGTTGTCAGATAGAACTTTCTGTATATGTCGGTTAGGTCCATGTGGTCTATAGTCTTGTTCAAACCCACTGTTTCCATATTGATTCTCTGTCTGGATGATCTATCCATTGTTGAGAGTGGGTAGTAAAGCCTCAAACTATTATTATAATGTTGTTTATTTATCTGTTTTGTTCTGTTAGTTTTTACTTTATATGTGTAGGTGCTCTGGTGTTGAGTGATTAAATATTTACAATTTTTATATCTTTTTGAAGGATTGACCCCATTATCATTATGTAATGACTTTCTTGGTCTCTTTTTACCATTTTTAGTTTAAAGTCTATTTTGCCTGATATAAGAATACTTTGCCCTATGAGATTTTTGGTTATCATTTGCTTGAAATAACTTTTTCCATCCCTCCACTACAAAGCATATGTGTGTCTTTAAAGCTAAGGTGAGACTCTTGTAGTGAACATATTATAGGATCTTGTTTCTTTTTATTGTTGTTTTTAAAATTCATTCAGCCATTTTGTGTCTTTTGATTTTAATCAGAATTAAATTTAAGAGAATTCAATTCATTTTCATTAAAAATAATTATTGATAGGTAAGGACTTACTATTGCCATTTT